GACGAATGAAATGCGTGCTCACAACAGCGGTGGTGCCGTGTGTCCACTTTCGCTGTCCCCTAAAGAAAAGCCGTCAAGGCATGACGTCAGTGATCCTCGCGAGAGCCTGTCTGACAGTGAGACGGAATCCTCGCATCGTCTTGCGGCGCGACAGCTGTCAGAGTGTTCCGTCGTCTCCGCATCGACGCAGTGCGAAAAGCGACCTCACAGTGCCTCGGCGATACTCGACTGTCGTCAGTCGCCTATTGATGTTCAGGCGGTGCCTGTGCCTCAGCCGGTGGTTCCGTTCGAAGACGTCGTCAGCCACCAGCCTCTGCCATATTCACCGTTGCCGTCGAACCTCAGCGTTTGCAGTCCGATTCAGTCGCTCTACTACTCCAAAACCCTTCGCAACATTCGCAAAGCCGCTTCGAGGTAAGTTTCGGTGAATTTCGAACTACTTTCGCCAAGGCGACCGTTTGCTGTCAAACATCGAACTGAACATGATTATTCTTTCATTTCCGGCTTGCTCACTGTTCTGGGCTGATTCAGTTAAATAGTGGGCAGATCAGAACGAATTGCAACCGAGAAGCGACTGCGAAAACTCAAAGTAACTGCCGTAAGTTTAGTGCACTCGCCAAAACACCAAGCTCTTTCTGTTGTTCACCTGCCTTCCTCTGAAATATGAGCGGCGAGAGCAGAGCATAAGAAAATACGGTTGGCAAAAAACATGTAGATTCACCGGCCTTTACGAAAGGGAACACTACAGGCTAGGAAAGTTTGCACAACTACAGTAAACTACTGGTAAATTATTAATATGTTAAAATATAGAACGCAAAAAGAAGGCACGAGCTTAAAGTTTATCAAGGAAGACGATATGCTGGCCATGAGCTCAAGTAGACGGATCCAATCGTGGGTAATCCGGACGGAAGCACAATGACTACGCACGGTCATTTATTGCCTTGAGAAAGAGTGATCTTGCTTGTGGTGAAAAGTGAGCACGACCGTACTACTTGTTATTCACATCTCGGCCGATGAACCGATGCCCAATGGACAAAACTTCTTACCCAAGGGAATTAACTGTTATTTACAACACGTTTCATTGCTGTGGAACGACTGCCCTCTGCGGCAGTGCGATCCTCACTAACACAAGGAGGTTGATGAGTTACGACTCGTTCACATATTTCAGTCAATGTTTCTTTACGCCCTGTTGTAGCCTTCTCTTGCTTCAGCTTGACCGGCGCGTCCCAAGATGCTATTAAGCTCACGCCTTTCACTAGTACGATCCAAATTGGCCAATACGTGCCGTTAAATTTCAGCAGAGTAATTGAATTTCATCTGTGTTTGGAGCAATCCTCTATTGAATCTGTATCTGGCCAATGCGTGGGATTCTAATTCAGCTAGATGAACTGCTTTTCAAATAGGAGACGGTATCGTTGCGCTGCATGCACCTAAGCGGTGTTACCGTATACTTTCCGTTCAATGTGTAAGTCGTAATTTTCGCTTGTTTTAGACGGACTCTCTTTGAAGACATAAGGATATTTAACGTCCCCTCAAAATCATTACATCTCCAACTGCCACTGTCTTATTTCAATTTATCGCAACAGCCGTAAATCTCGTGCTCGGTTCAGGAACTTGCTCGACGTTGACCAATGGTGATCATGCATTTTCTATCATGATTCTCTAATGGCATGAGTTATCCTTTCCCTGCGTGTTCTGCTATCTGTAGTCCACTACAGTTTTAGACCTTATTTCGGCATGGCCTATGGCTCATCAACCGCTGTTCAAAGGGTGTGCAGAAAATTCACCCCGATTTATTCATGAATAAATGCGGAACGTGACCGCTTCCTCCAGTTCGAGCTAATTGCCAGGGCGTGGCGTTCGTTTTTCTTATAAACGAATTTGTCTTAAAAGCTAAAAAAATCTGCTCTGCTGATATGCAGGCATTAATTGACACGTTTAGTCTCGTCTCGTTTGCGAACCGCTTCATCAGTGCACATCATCGTATGCCGCCTTGCTGCACAATCTCCTATTTTTGTTGTATGCTGGTTCTTTGCGGTGCAGACGATGATACATGGAGATTTAAGACAATATACTTCCCCCAATTTTCTTCTGCAAAGCCATTTTATACCTTTGTTACGATCGTAAACTTAAAATACTACAGAACAATACTCTGCGTAAATGAGTCCCTCTTGGCGAATAGGAGCAAGGGAAGTTTGTATTACCTCGA